GTTACGTAAACTGAATTACAAAACGAGAACAGAGGTCAACCAGGGACCCAGGACCCGCAAGGCAGCCACGGGCCAGAGAGCAGGCATGCGGCAGGCGATCCTGTGTGCGTGTGCGTGCGATGGCGCAAGGTGAGGCGAAGACACCTGCTCGGCTAAGGGACCTGGGCAGCTGCTCTGCGGGGTCAAGACCATGTCGGGAAGGACGGGGCCCCGAATGAGAATCCACCAGATGCAAGTTCCACCGACGCCCACTCAACAGCACTGCGTCACCGTCAGACCCCTTCTCGCCTGGAAATCGTCCCCTGGGGGTCACGAGTGCACGCAGCACATGCACGTCGTATGCTTCCCTCTGGCCAGTCCAGCCACCACTTGGTACTGCGTTTCTAAACTGTCCCTACTCGCTGAGCGTCACCACCATGTGCTCGAATACCCCACCTGCCGTCTACAGTTAAAGACACAGAGAGAACAGGGTGGGAGAGCCTGGCAGAAGCTGTGCATACAACCAGAACTCCAACAAAGGCTCACAGAGGAAACCGTTTCTGTGTCTTCAGACAGGCCCGTTCCTAAGAGCATCAGTTATTGGAAGCGAACGTGTTTTCAGACACAGGGGCCGGGAGCTGGGCCGCCCACGCCCGCCTCCGCCCGCCTCCGTGTACCTTTCACGTCTTCATCCTCGATGGTGGTGTTGGAGCTCTCCGTGGACTCCTGTGGAGGAAACACACATTGCAGACAATGAACAGCCGCTCCTTTTCTTCCCGGAAACTGGCGAGTGCTGCTCACATCATGCAAACCCGCAGCAGGCGTGTGCACATCGGACATGCAAATGGACAGACACCCTATGGCAGGAACAGAATGAAATGCCAAACGCTGCCCACGCTGGGGAAGGCGCCCCCATGGCCTCACCTCGAGCCTAAGGCCGTGCCTCTCAGAGCTGAGGACGCGTCTGGGTCCCCGTCCCCCAGGTTCTCTGTGTCTGTGAGAAACTGGCTCTACTAGCCTAACGAGCAGGAACCGAGGACAGAACCATTCTTATTCTCCATCTAGCCTCCGGGGGCAGCCCCTGCTCTGGCCGAAGGAAGCCCGCGAGCACAGACGCACAGCTGGCAGCCTGTGGGTCTCAGCCCCTGCGGAGAGCAAGCCTCTCCGGCCCCAGGAGGGGAGGAGGCAGGGGGATGTGGTCGTGCTTCCAGGAGCGTCCGCATGGGCAGCACCGTGCAGCCAGCGCGTCACTGACTCAGGACAGCGAGGTTCTCTCTCACGTCCAAGGCGGCACTGCTGCCATGACAACGACAGAGCCCGACTGCCCGAGGTGGCTCCGCACAGCATCCGATACACGACCCGTCAATGCAGTTTCCAGCGAAGAAACGTACTCACGTTCCTGAGACACAGCCTTCCACTTCGAATGACCAAAGGCCAGAAACACCACCACTGGACACAAACCTCCACTCAGCAGCTGTGCGCTCAGAGACCAAGAACGGCTTCTGCAAAATGGTGCCAACACCAGCCACCGTCCCTCAGAGATTCAGTATTCAAAAAAGTGATCCACTCATATGACGGTCACAGCGAGTACGTAACCAAAGGGACAGACCCATCAGCGCGTGTGCCGGGCCTCCGTCCGCCCAGAGCAGGGTCACCGGCCTCGGCCTGGCCTGGCCCACCTTCCGCTCGCGAGGAGGTGCAGGCACCTGCGCACAGACGTCCACAGGGCCAGGCAGCCAGGCAGCAGCCACCGCGGAGCCACAGAGAGGCCCCGGCGTGCGCCTGGCCTCGCCTGGCTGGCGACCCTGCGAACCTCGGGCTCGCGTGGGACACTCCTCAGGGCTCCAGGTGTGAGGGACTGAGGGCAGCCATTTCCCACCCGCGCGCCGCAAGGATGTTGAAGACATGCAACACCTGACGGTTCAGCCTTTAGACTGTGAAATAGGAGAATGACAACACTAGCGTCGGTGTGAGTGAACCGAACACGGCGCGCAGAGTGAGCAGCCAGTGTGGGTGCCGTGGGAGGGAAACGGTGAAAATCGCTGCCTTAGACCATTTCAGTGTCATGACTACAAATACGCCTCCTCACAGAGAAGGAGGCATGTGATGGTCTTTACTCTGATGACTTTACACTGACCCCCTCGCTGTTAAACCAGAGAAACTGTGCTCTGACGTCAATGTCGCTGCTCACAGTGGGCAGACAGACCGGCCTCGCCTGTGGAAGTGGGAGGAAGGGTTCTTCCCTCCGCAGCCACAGCCGTGCGTGAGGATGCAGCTGGCCCAGCGCCTGCTCAGGCAGTCTCCCTCCCCAGGCGTGCACACGGCTCGCACGCAGCGAGGACGCCGTGCGGACAGGTCACCGCGGACGGACACACCAGGCTCCACTCAGCACAACCAGTCACACGCCTGCTGCTGACACGCATGTCGTTCCACAAAAACACGTTTCCCAAGTGAACGTCCTTATTCTCTGCAAATTCACGCCAAACCACAAAAACACCACCAACCAGGAATTCAAGGAAAAACCACGGTAACAACAGAGTAAATGAACTCAAAGCAACATTACACCTGAACAAGTGCCTACAAACCCGAGCTCCAAAGACAGGAATGACACAGCAAGAAACCCTAACTCCCATGCAGACACACGTCAGTGCAATGGGGGTGGGGGTGGGGGGGCAATGGACTCGCGGGGGACACAGTTGTCTGGACAGAAGGAAGCTCTGTCGACGTTTAGTGACTAACGGCCCCGCGCCTCTCAGGGTGTCATTCTCTGCCTGTCCTGAGAGAGGGTGCAGCTGGGTCGTCAGGCACGGGGAGCGCGGTGGGGGCGGGCGGGCTCCCCCATTCCGGCCGCTAAGTCACTTTGTGCGGAGGAGGGTGTGAGGGGAGCGAGAGGCTGCCCCTCTGCGTACCTTGTTTCCGTCAGGGCTGTGGATCACAGTGGTTTGGGGTTCCTGAGTGAGAGCAAATGGAGAGAGAGCAGTTCGCATGGTCAGTACACTCAGGCGGTGGGGAGAGCGCGAGCAGCCCGCAGGCCCCGGGCAGCGGAAGACAGGACTCTGAGGACGGACAATCTCTCTGAAGGCATTGTCAGCTGCAGTGTTTTCAGGACTACGGTGCTGACACTATAATTAATACACAAATAAATACCCTTGGACAATCTCCATGGGATTACACTTAGAGCACTATCGTAAAGAACGTATTTTCACATGTCCATGAAGAATCCTAAGGGGCACTGAAGGTTCACTTCAGGGGTTCTAGAACGAACCATAAAGTCACAGTAATCTGAGACACATGGCTGTTGAGTCCTGTGTTAACTCATTAACACATTAATTTTCCTGCTTTACGGACGACATGCACCATGTGCCCAAAAGGCTTGCTCCCTGTAAATCCACTTTCTCCATAAGGGAAGTATTATTTTTACTTCTCCCCCTTTTTAAATAGTATTGTTTTTCCTATTGCTTCTGACCAGAGAATGGGAGACATGTTCCGAAGTGGAGACTGGTCAGCGCCGTGTGGATGGCGCCTGGTCAGCAGGAGTCCCTGTCATGTGTGCCCTCCCGGCCGGGCTGCAGGGAGCCTCAGAGCCCATGGCTGCCCTCGCCCTGCGGGACCATCGCGTGCACTGAGGCCACGGAGGGAACCGCCCTCTCCACGCTGGAGGTGGAGCCTGTGGTGAAAGAAGTGGAGTCACCCCGGCCACTGTGGACTCATTTAAAGTGGCACAGAGGACGGTGAACATCAGGAACCTTCCTGGAAACCATCCACCTGAACACGGAACAGCTCGGGGACAGTGGGGAGCTCAGCACTCAACTCTAGTGTCCGAACCTCCAGCGCCCACCTCGCACTGCGGGTGGCGGGGACTGCGGGGCAGGAACGGGCAGGCCGGTGCTGTGCCGCGGGCTCCTTCTCGGGGCTGAATTGAAGGGGCCCCTCAGTGCGAGCGGCAAAGCGCAGACTGAAATCCAGCGCCTCTTTGTCTGCCGGGGAGGCTGCCAGGCCGCCGTCCACAGCCAGCGGCCCTGCCCTGCATGGGTGCCAGCGCTGCCTCTGAGCCTCCAGCAGCCACGCCGCGAGCAGCGAAGCGCATTCTCCTGCCCCTGTGGGCACATGCACATGTCCCTGCGAGACACAGCGGCCACGCTCAGACAGGGGATGAAGGCGTCATGTTAGCCACACGCGGCCTGACAACCACCTTAACAAAAAGAAAAGGAGACAATGAACATGCCCGCATCTCAGAAGCAAAACCAACACCAAACCCAACAACACGTGTGTACACGTCTGCACACGGGCACACGAGAGCGATGGCAGGGCAGTGAGCACGCGGGAGTCGCTGTACCAGCGCCGGGGCAGGGGCGTTCTCTTTGGGGCTAGTTACCACGTTGGCTCTGCTGTTTATCTGTGGGTCGCAGAAAAAGAGAGACACCTTAGAGCCTGGGAGCTAACACACTCCCTGCAGCGTGTCTACGTGGAGACACGACACGGGAATAACAGGCGTTCCTCAGCGTGAGAGACGCTGGTGCCCCAGGACAGGAGCCAGCCTTTCCCCGACGGTCCCCGCAGGCGGGGCCCAGACCTGGAGGGCGCCCAGGACTTGCTGCTCTGGCTGTGCCAGCGGTGGACACAGAGCAGGCACGGGCGAGTGCCGTCCACGCTCTCCGCGCGGATGCCCTGCGGGGAACGCGCTCGGTTCACTCCCTCGGGGGCCCAGCTCGCCACAGACCGCCGTCCTGAGCCCCATCCCTTTGCTCCAATAAAACTCCCCTTCTGATGAGACCTGGCTTCACAACACGTTTCTATCATGAGAAGCCTGGTCTCCTCCATCACCAATGGCACCTGAGCTTTGCCGACTGCAACGCCCCTCCCTCTTCACAGCGGAGGAGAGACTGCTGCGCTGCTGCTACAGTGACCGACTCCCTGGGACCAGCGGCCTGCTCCCTCCGCGCCCACCTGCAGAGGCCGCTGTCCCCGCGGGAGGCACCGAGTGTGACCCTCAGGGCTGCAGCCGCCAGGGAGGCCTGCAGACAGCGGCCATGTGAGGCTGCAGCTGAGCTTGGCCCTAAATGGGCACAGACTCAGGTCGCGATCATCTACACGCGTCACCTAAATTCACACCTGACAACTCGGTGTGGCCATCGGCCCACACAATCAGCTCATTTCCTCGCATGACGTTCTCTGCGCACTTTCTTCACAGTTACCTACGGAGCACATCCCACAAGTGCAGTATAGACCACGTGAGGCGTGAGGACAAACACACGCTGCAGAAAGGCGATGCCAAAGAGCAGCTACGAGCAGTCACACCCAGTGTGTGGGTCCCGGGACCCGCTCTGCTATGTTACTCAGAGTTCACGCCGCATCCAGCGCCGAGGAAGATGGGGTTCAACAGGGACCAGGTCCGCACGTGTCTGCCCGCCACACCTGCGTGCCCAGCGGGCGGTGGGACCCGCGGGGGACACGGGGGAGCGGGGCGGGCCTCGCTGGAGAAGCGTGAGACGTCGGGCTGTCTTTGGCAGATAGTTCCCTGGAACCTTCTTTCGTTGGAAGGGCACGGAATTCACCATGAACGTTGTGCAACGTCCAGAAAGAGGCCAGAGGAAATGGCCCATTGAAGACAGCGCACAGAACGCACAGCACGCACAGCAAAGGGGAGGCGCCCCCCGCAGGGCCGCTCCTGGGAGCTGTGCCGGTCACGCAGCGCCTCTGCCTTCCCCGGACAGAGGGCTCCGTGCACGTGGGAGCCCAGAGCCGGTTCATCTTGGTGAAATGTCCCCCACGCACACCCCTGCACAGGCGCATCTGCACAGAGGGGCACCGCGCCCACACCATCTCTCCACCTCACGTCCTGGGTCAGGCACAGCCAGTGTGCCGACGAGCGTTAAAAGCATCGGTTGATGTAGATCAGCCAATGGGATTTCATGACAGACCTTTGAAGGGACGTGTGATGCTGACTAACTGGAATAAGAGGAGAATCTCTGCATCCCGGCTGGCGGTTCATCTTGAAATGTCCCCCACGCACACCCCTGCACAGGGCGCATCTGCACAGAGGGGCACCGCGCACACACCATCTCTCCACCTCACGTCCTGGGTCAGGCACAGCCAGTGTGCCGACGAGCGTTAAAAGCATCGGTTGATGTAGATCAGCCAATGGGATTTCATGACAGACCTTTGAAGGGACGTGTGATGCTGACTAACTGGAATAAGAGGAGAATCTCTGCATCCCGGCTGGAGGCCTGCCTTGCGGAGGGTCCTGCACCAGGCGGGGCCGCAGCGCCCGCGAGCAGAGGGAGCCTTGGCTGCCGGGAAACGCAGCCTTTTTATACGTGGAAGCCCAGCGTTTCCTCTTAAAGGCTACATCCATCAGCTACCTAAGGGCTGCACTGACTCGTCCTCTGAGGCTCGGCCAAGACGCCTCTATTTCTCAGGGGGTCATTTACTCAGCTTCCAGGACGGCCGCACGGTCCACCCTGTGCTGCACACGCACTTGCAGGGGTACAGCGATCTGCTCTGCAGTCACCCTACTTTAGCATCACAGTCGTCGTTTAAAAATAATCCCAGCCTTGCCCTGGCCAATGTTGCTCAGTGGATAGAGCATTGGCCTACAGACTGAAGGGTGCCCTTTGATTCCAGGTCAAGGGCACTTGCCTGGGTGGTGGGCTCAATCCCCAGGAGGGGGTTTGCAGGAGGCAGCCGATCCATGATTCTCTCATCACTGATGTTTCTCTCTCTCTCCCTCTCTCTTCCTCTCTGAAATCAATAATCAGAAAAGTAGCAAGCATGCTAATAGTAAAAACCACCACCCGTCTTTTTTACGTTCAGTCAACAGACAGCAGCTGCCTCCTCCCTTCGGTTTTGGAGGAAGCTGTGCTCATCCCGGTGGAGGAGGCGGGGCGGCTACGTAACTAGCCCCTTCAGAGGTACCAGTGGGGCCTGCGGGACCTGCAACCCCTCGGTGGGCAGGGCCGCATCCTGCCCTCACCGCCCTTCAACACTCGAGCTGGGCCTCCTTCTCGGAACTGACCGGCCAGGGAGGAAGGAAAGAGAACCGTGGCCGCGGAGCTGGAACGTGTTGCTGCACGGAACGCAGCCTCACGCAGGCCTGAGGAGCCATGAACGCTGTGTCTCCGACCCTACAGGGAAGCGCGGAGAGTAAACCACGCGGGAGACACCCACCGTGACCTGCAGTGGAGAGGAGCATGAGCCGTGGGCAGAGGAGGCTGTGCTCCTGGGCAGCGGGGTGGCTGCCCCGGCTCAGAGCTCCTGCCCCACAGCGAGGCGAGAGCGGCGCAGCCACAGTGACTGGCCGTTTTCCACTTATGCCTCAAATGACTGACCACCGACTTTGGGTCAAGGTCACACAGTAGGACAGTAACGAGTTCCTGCGAACGCTGCCATGCTGGCGAAGAACGCGGCGCCTGCGCAGGAGGAGTGGGAGACGTCAGGTGACACTGGGAGGAGCAACACGGTCACAGCGAAGGAGGGTCCCGCGTAGCACACGGCATCAGCAGAGAGCCAGCGGTGGGGTTTTGTTTAGGAACCGAGAACACGGCCATGACCTACTAACATCTGCCCCGAGTGTCCCGGGAGCTCCTCTGGGCGGCATGGCAGCACAAGGACCGCGGCCTCCCGGGAGGCCTGGCAGTTGCCTAGAGGCAGCACTTGACGCCCAGGGCCACAGACCGCCCACCCCGCAGCCTCCAGGAACCCAGCACAGACACCGGGAAAGGTCAGGTCACCCCGACGATTAGAAATGTAGAAACCAGAGAGGAATTCAACGCTCCAGAGCGGCTCCTACGGCACGAATGCCAGTCATGCTGTGTGACGTCACGCTGCAGGCTGTGTGTGACGTCACGCTGCAGGATGTGTGTGACGTCACGCTGCAGGCTGTGTGACATCACCTTACAGGCTGTGTGACGTCACGCTGCAGGCTGTGTGACATCACCTTACAGGCTGTGTGACGTCACGCTGCAGGCTGTGTGACGTGGTGTGACCGGCAGCCTGGCTCTGCTCAGGAACCAAACCAACAAGAGGAGACGGGGCGGCGGGGGGCACGCAGGCGCAGCAGTGACTCACCTTCACTCCGTCCGGCTTCTTCAGCAGACTCTTGGCCGCTGCAAAACGAGAGAGACCGTGTCAGCCCGTCCTGCACGGGCCGGCCTGGCGCCGAGACGGTCGCGGTCTCGGGCACCGCGGAGCCACGCCGCACACCCAGCCATGAGGCCGCGAGCCCAGCTCCGGGGACGGACACACAGCCTGGTTCCCAGCTGCTTCAGCGCTCACGGCACAGAAGCAACACATGCCCAGTCCTGCCACTGGACCCGTCCCTGCCGGCTGGAGGCCTTGGGCCTGTCACCGGCGGCCTGTCCGCGGACGGCACCTGCGCGGTGTTCACGTCATGCCAGCCCTCGCCCGAGTCCTGCTCCACAGGCTCAAACTCGCTGGGGAAAATATTCTCTGCTGAAATAACGTCTTTTTAAAAATATGTATCTTTGAAATCAGATTTCACTTTTACAAAAATATTAATAACTGTACTTAAAATGGTATATTATTGACCTACTTTAAACCCTTAGCATATACGTGTTAGAAGAGAAATTATGTATTCTTCTCTACTTCAAAATCAGAACAAGACTCCAAAATTAAAAGCCGTTCACACCGAAAATTAAAAATCACAGAATATGAAGTCAGACATGAAAGAAAATGAAATCTTCAAGGAAACGAGAGCTCCCGGGGACGGACCCACAGTGAGCTCCCGAGGATGGAGCTCATGGGCCACAGCGAGGTCCTGGGGACGGGCCCATGGCGAGGTCCTGAGGACGGAGCTCACGGCCCACGGCGAGGTGGCCCTTGCGGGGGCGCAGCATCCCTCCAGGTGCTGAGCCTGGGCACTGACGATGGGCGCTTGGACACACCACGAAGTGATGCGTGGCGCCGGTCGCAGACAACAGGACAGTGGGACGCAGTGCAGGCACGGGGTTGGTCAGCGCGTGGCCGAGAACTTGGTGCCAAGAGGAACCACCGGGCTGCCCCAGAACCGCATGCTCCCTCGACTCCCCGGCATCTCTTTTCCTTGGGACGGGACTTTGTTCTTCGGCATCATTTTCAACTTAAGACACAAAGCCTGACTTTCTGGGTCCGTAGCAACACGGCTCCTGACTGACGAGTGACTGAGTGTGAGGAAGCCTGTCTGGGCGACAAGACTCCTCGCCTGGAGCTAAAGAGCAACCCTGGGCCTCCAGCTGGGAGAGCATGTGGGTGGGAATGTGCTGTGGGCAGAGGGGCCCAGCGGGCAGAGGGGGCCCAGTGGGCAGAGGGGCCCTGCGGGCAGAGAGATACCAACGAGCAGAGAGATACCAACGGTCAGAGGGGCCCAGCGGGCAGAGGGGGCCCAGTGGGCAGAGGGGCCCTGCGGGCAGAGAGATACCAACAGGCAGAGAGATACCAACGGGCAGAGGGGCCCTGCGGGCAGAGGGGCCCAGCGGGCAGAGGGGCCCTGCGGGCAGAGAGATACCAACAGGCAGAGAGATACCAACGGGCAGAGGGGCCCAGCGGGCAGAGGGGCCCAGCGGGCAGAGAGATACCAACAGGCAGAGAGATACCAACGGGCAGAGAGATACCAGCGGGCAGAGAGATACCAGTGGGCAGAGGGGCCCAGCGGGCAGAGGGGGCCCAGTGGGCAGAGGGGCCCTGCGGGCAGAGAGATACCAACAGGCAGAGAGATACCAACGGGCAGAGGGGCCCAGTGGGCAGAGGGGGCCCAGTGCCCCCTG